TCTGCCCAACACCTGAAAGCCAATACCATAAGGACAAGGGCTTTGAGGAGGGGCTTCCGGCCTTGTTCCCATGTACCTCTTAGAAAGACAGTGGACGCAGCTGGCTTGTATGGAGTCCCTGAAGGCAAGTCAGACACTGCCCTCCATTACCTCAGAATGCTTTCCTCATGACTCTCAAGCATCCTGTTGGTAGGCCTGCATCCTGAGACTGGGGCTCAGGTGATGGTAATGTGACCACCCTCCACTCCAAAACTTCTCTCCTGACCCAAGTCTTATTCTGAGGTCATCAGGGCGCGGTATTCAGGAGAGAATTGGCTCCAGGAATATGAAATTTTAGCAATTTTAGCAGGTGCTTACTACAACCGGTCACGGTTGTTGTCTCAGGGAGAAGACCCCAGCCAGCTGTAGAGTTGGGGGCTGGAAAGATGGCTCCGGGGTAAGAGTACTAGATGTTCTTCTAGAAGACCTGTACTTGGTTCCCAGTGTTCAGTTAGGCAGCTCACAGCTATCTATAACTGCAGCTCTAGGATTCTGATGCTTTTGTGTGTGTGTGTGTGTGTGTTGTTAGGAATATGGCATGAGGTAGGACACGACGGATCCCATGGGGGGGCAAACACGCCATCAGGCAGAGCTTATATGGAAAGGAAGTTTTTATTGGAAAGGAAAGGGAGTGGGGTCAGGGAGAAAGAGAGGGGTGAGAGAAGAAAGAGAGAAGGAGGGAGAGGGAGAGAGAAAGGGAGGAAGGGAGGGTAGGAGGGAGGGAGGGAGAGAGAGAGAGGGAGGGAGGGAGAGACAGAGACAGAGACAGAGACAGAGACAGACTGGCTCCCCAGAGAAATGGCAAAAAAGACAGAGCAGAAGTGGGTGGGGTTTGTCTCTTAAAGGGACCTCCACACATGTGTGCAGAGCCAGGGTACTGCCTGCCATGTGCAGAGGGGTGACACACTGTGTCAGATTCCCAAGGGGCAGAGCCAGATTTGCCTGGATTGTTATGCATGTACCCTCCCATAAGTTAATTAATTAATTACTTAACTGCAGGGTTGAAGCTAAGTGGTCTATTGAAGGCCACCAGTCCCTTGTTCCCTGGCTCCCATGTAAGTGAGTGAGTGGGGTGCATAGTTCCTAGTGTCAGACCGGCGAGGGCTTGGGGGCTCGGGCTTGGGCGTCAAGGCTGCAGCTCCACTCTCTCAGAAGCCAAGGACGCCGTGGAAGAGCAGTGGATCAATCTCCCAGAGCAGTAAGTTTCATTTGCTAGAGTTGGAGCTGCGCCATCCACCTGCTTGAGGAGTCGCTAATAACCGCTGCGTTTTAATGGCGCTAAATTAGCTGCAACAATATTGAAGCTCCGAAGGCTCCAGGAATTGAGTGCATCGGGTGGGGATGAATTCCAGAGTGTCTTTGCCTCAGGGCTGGAGAGGAGGAGGGGGAGGGACGCAAGGAGGGAGAAAAAGAATGAGAAGGGCGGCTACAGACAGGAGACCAGACAACCGGATGGAGTCACAGTTCAGATGCCCAACCCACCGCTCAACTGTGGACCTCCCTTCCTAAATAAACACAATAGCCACACCGAGAATCACAGCCGGAGGATGGCTGATTGCTCCTGAGATGCTAGGCCCTGGCCTAAGTGCTTTGCAAATGTTCACTAATGAACTCGATCTTCATGCCTCTGACGAACTAGGTCAGTCTGCACTGATGGCCGCTAGAGAGCATCCCTGGACTTGCCCCGACTTTGAGGCTATCCCACGACATCGTTTCTGCCTTCTTCCCTGAGTGTGGTCCAGCCTCTAACTGCTTCAGTACCCAGAACACAGCAGAAAGGGGCTGGGGATGAGACTCAGTTGGTAGAGTATTTGCACGCATGAAACTGTGAAGTCCATCCCCAGCGCTGCTGGGTGTGGTGGTGCACACCTGTAATTCTGGCCCTGGGGAGGGAGAGGCAGGGGGAGAAGTTCAAAGTTACCATCTACTACAGAGCAAGCTTGTGGAGCCAGCTTGTGATAGAGTAGACTCTGGGTGATGCTGGGGTTAATTGTCAGCTTGACAGGATCCAGAGTCACTGAGCCCCCAGGTGGACCTGGAAGGAATTGTCTTGATTCTGTTGAGGTGGGAGGAACCATCCTAAAAGTGGGCAGCACACTCCCTGAGCTGGGGTCCTGGGCTGCAGAAGGAAGAGTGATCAATACCCGTTTTCCTCTGCTCTCCTCTTCCCGACTGTAGAAGAATGTGACCTGCTGCCTCAGGTTCCTGCTGCCCTGACATTTAGCCGTGATGGACTGTGAGCGGAAAAACTCCTCTCCTCCTTTTAGTTGCTTCTGGCAGGGAATTTTATCACAGTCACAGAAAGGTAGCCAAGACACCCTATCTCTCAAAATAAATACCCTAAAAATAATAAATAGGTAAAGTAATAAAATAGGCAAGGAGCCATAGCAGGGAACCCAGGCTTGAGGCCTCCTTCTGACATTCACAAACCGCGTGGCTGGGGCAAGATTCCTAAGCATTCCTGGGCAATGTCTGTTTCTGGGAGACGCGGCAACATGGCACCTGTGTGCGCAGCTAGATCACATGTGTTGAATGCCCAGTGCAGAGTCTTGATAATTAGCTTCCTGGTCTCTTTTATCACTGCATTCAAGACTATCTGCTCCCTCTTAAAAGCCAATACGTGTCACAGGCCTACACCCTACAGAGTGACGAGGATTTGTCACCTTCCAAATACAGGAGCATCTGGGAAGTCCAGTGCACAGGGCTTTTGAGGGGGAGGCTCTTGTCAGAGAATGAACCTGAAAGCTCGTGTTGAGTTGGTCCTGGGTGTATGGCTTTGATTTTAATCCAGCTCATACATCACCTTGATTACTGGATTATTTTATATGTATGTATGTATGCATGCATGCAGGTGTGTATGTATATCCCCGGAACACACACACACACACACACACACACACACACACACACACACACACACACACATACTGTGTATGTACACATGATGGAGGATGTCCTTCTGTATGCTGTGATTATATGCTTCTCTTATTGGTTGATGAATAAATGCCGATTGGCCAGTAGCCAGGCAGGAGGTATAGGCAGGGCTACCAGACTAGGAGAATTATGGGAAGAGGAAAAGCAGGGATCACACCAGAGAGAGACACCATGTAATTGCTGAAGCAGTAACATGCCGTAGCATTATGGGTAAGCCACAGCCTTGTGACAATACATAGTTTAATAGAAATGGGTTAATAATTAAGAGAGAGATAGCCAATAAGAAGCCTGAGCCATTGGCTAAACAGTTTATAATTAATATAAGCCTCTGTGTGTTTATTTGGGACTAAAGAGCTGTGGGAACAGGCAGGACAGAAACTCTGTCTACATACACATGTACACACTAACATACATATATATGTGTGTGTGTGTGTGTGTGTGTGTGTGTGTGTGTGCACTGCAGAGACCACAGGTCAATGGCAGGTGCCTTGTATCTCCACTTGCTTTTTACCACAGGTCAATGGCAGGTGCCTTGTATCTCCACTTGCTTTTTACCACAGGTCAATGGCAGGTGCCTTGTATCTCCACTTGCTTTTTACCACAGGTCAATGGCAGGTGCCTTGTATCTCCACTTGCTTTTTTGTTGTTGCTGCTGCTTTTTGAGGTGAGGTCCTCCACTAAATCTGGAATTCCCTGTTCTTTTGAGACTGGCTGGCCAGCAAGTCCCCAGGGAATCCTCCTGTCTGACACAGGCTGACACACTCAGCTTTTCCATGGATGTTGGGGATCCCAACTCATCATGCAGCTTCTGACGGAGCCAGCTCCCCAGGCTATGGATTGTTCAGAGAAATCTTCCATATGCCATGGTGACTAGCTAAGACCCGAGGAAGTCTGTGAGCCTCACAGCAAAGGCCAAGGGAGGACTGCAGGCCATGTGTGTCATATGTGTAGACTCCATGATCCCGGAGAACACAAGGCTGTGCAGAGTGGCCATAGGGACACACCGCCTCAAAGTATGACTATGGATCAGAACACACCAGCTTCAAATATGCCCCTCTGGCACAATGGCTATTTTGAGCTGCCTTGTTTCAGGAACTCCTTTCAGCAAGTCCTAGCCTCCCTCAGCTTTTCTTTTCTTTTGCATTTTTATTTCCACAAACTCAGATGGTGAGGCCCGAGGCTTAAGCTTCCCTGTAGATCCACTCTGGAGAGTCAGCAATTCTTCCCAGCATGCAACAGGAACAAATACCAATCAACTGCTGTTTGTGTCTCTCTCGCTAATCTGTCTTTTGTTACAGAAGCCCCAGTTAATGACTACAAAGGAAAAAGAGGGAATTATTGTTATTTTTTATAGTAGTGGGAACTGAGGGCAGAGGGGGTCAGATGTCTGGGGTTACTGGAGACCTGTGTGCTCCTTGGGTGATGAACTGGCCTGGTCCCCTGGTTAAAAGCAGGGGATCCACGATAGGGAGGACACCACGAGGTCCACATCCCGCGGTCAGTTGCCTTGTGGGTCAAGAGAGGAGCAAGCACTTTACAGCTTAAGTCAAGTGCCTACTTTGTGCTTCACATCGGGGAGCTGGCCCCTGGAGGGGGGGGTCACTTCTGAGCACCTCCAGACTCCGAACTTCACAGAAATGTTAGGTCAAAGGGAAGATAAGCAATGAGCATTGGTTAGACCAGACGGTGCCAGAGTACTGGGAGTCTTAGACCAGGGGATTGTGGCTGGGTCAGGAGAGGTGGAGTGCAGGCAAGCTTGCACAGTACACAGAAGGGCTCGCCACATCTATTCAGGTGAACAAGGGGCGTGGCCGGGGAGGAGGGAAGGGGAGGGATTTCCTGCCCCCCAAATATTTCAAGGTTCTTGTTTGTTTGTTTTTGAGACAGGATCCATCTCATTATGTAGCACGGACTGGTCTGGAGTTTGCTGTGTAGACCAGGCTGGCCTAGAATGTAAAGAGATCCACCAGGCTCTAGCACTCGTCTGTCTTCCTGGGTGCTGGGATTAAAGGGAGTTTCTTTCACAGGCATTTCAGGCTGGGAGAAGGGCCTGGTACCAGGATGAGTGGCTGGAGATGGCTGGTTCAGTATCACATGGGACCACCGGGAGGTGGTTTTGCCGTATCTCAGGTACTTCGTGGAGACCAGCAGGTGGATAGTTGTTGGTGCTTTGGTCAGGGTCACTACTGCTGTGGTGCAATACAAGCAGTGAGGACAGGAACCGAAACAGGGTGGGAACCTGCAGGCTGGAGCTGATGCAGCGGACACGGAGGGAGCTGCTTACTGGCTTACTCCTCATAGCTTGCTCAGCCTGCTTCCTTTTTTTTTTTTTGGTTTTTCGAGACAGGGTTTCTCTGTGGCTTTGCAGGCTGTCCTGGAACTCACTTGGTAGTCCAGGCTGGTCTCGAACTCACAGAGATCCGCCTGCCTCTGCCTCCCGAGTGCTGGGATTAAAGGCGTGCGCCACCAACGCCCGGCTCAGCCTGCTTTCTTATAGACCAGAGTACCACCAGCTCAGGGATGGCTCCACCCACAACGGGCTGGGCCCTCCCCCATCAATCACTAGTAAGAAAATGCCTTATAGACTATAGTCTGGTCTTATGGAGACCTTTTCTCAACTGAAGATCTCTCCTTTCAGATAAGTCTGGCTTGTGTCAAGCTGACATAAAGTTAGCCATCCGGCTTGGGGCCTTTTGGGGAGAAACCTCAGCTGGAGTTTGGATAGGAGTTGAAGCCACAGGTAAGGATGAGCCTGCTCACAGAGCAAGGACAGAATCTCACCAGTGGGTGGGGGGACCTTCCTCAGCCCAGCCTCCCGGGAGGGAGTGACATTTCAGTACTGGTGATTCTAATTGAATTTAATTGTCTCCTCCAAGTTACGCTAAAACCTTTTCAAAGTCCCCTGAAATTAGGGACCATCGATAACACCACTCCTTGGGGGCTTTAATCCATGTCCTCCCCAGAACGGTGATTAATATTTTACAAGCTAATCATATCTTTCAGGCAGGCTGTCAGCAGAGGATCCGCTGTCTCTCATCAATAATAAAGTGCTCCCAGGCCCTCACTCCGAAACCTCCTGCATAATTCACCCAGAAACCCTCAAACAAAGGAGCCCATGGCCCAGGCTCCTAATCGGTGTCCTTCTCAATTATCCACAGAGCGGGGAGGGGCAGGAAGCGGTGGAGAGGGGAGGGCAGGGCACAGAAGATCTGATTGATGGCCCACATCTGGTTCTCCTCTTTAACATGCACTCACCTGCCTCTGCCTTCTGTCGTCTGGTGTATAGCCTCCCCCCACCTCATTTATACCCATCTCCCTCTCCGTCCTGCCCTTCATTGTCCTCTTGTTTTCTTCCTAACCAGGACACTGCTCATGGTCTTGACCAGCCTCTGCCCACAGCATCCCAGGAAGTTGAATGGGTTACCATGGTACCCCTCCGATGGATGATTAAACCGAAGTCCACTGCTCCAGGGTCACAGCATGGGTGATGGCTATCAGAACCCCTAACATCCTTAGACTGTGCTCTTCCCCTGTTAGTCTTGTGCCAAGGAAAACAGCAACCCTGTACACCTGGGCATGGAGGCTAAATCCTTACCAGCCGCAGCGTGTTCCTCGTCTTAGGGGTGGTAGTGGACAGAGCTGGCCATGGCCTCTCTTACCCTTGGGGTTCCGTCACTGAGGACAAAGATCAGAGGCAAATAGGCCAGGGGTAAAGTGAGCTGGGGGAAGCGGGAAGGACTTATACACAACAGGAGCCACTGGCCTCTGTCCTCGCTGGCATTGCTGGGAAGCTCCGCTGGGCATATTTCAGGGTGAGAGCTGTCCCAGTGCCAGAGGACACTGGAGCCCAGTTCCCTGCATTCAAGCCAGGAGGCTGGAGAGCAAGGCCGCCGGGAGTGGGATGGAGTCCAGTGAGCCGTCTTGGTCTGTGGAAGAAAGGCTTCCTCCTCCGTGGTCACTCTTTCATGGCTTTCTAGGTCTCTATGGCTGGCTCCAAAGTTGGCCTGAACAACAGCACGGCCTGATGCCTGGAGCCTTACCTCGACTTACCAGAAAACGCTGCCCATCTTCTTCCCATTTGTAAGGTCGGCTGGAAGGGAGGACAGACAGGGGACCGATTGAGCGGCCGGCAGCCGTTCAAAGAAAAAGCTGCTTGCGGGAGGGATGATTCTGGTATGAGCATTAGACCCCCTCATCTGTTCACAGGTGGGCGTGCCTATGGACAGACGGATGGGAAGGAGAAGAAGTTCTCTTTTTGTCCCGCAGTTGGATGTTGCTAGGGGTTACCGATGTCTGGTGATGGATAAACATCTCTCCTCCTTGGCCTTTGCTGGTGTTGGTAGGGTGTGGGAGCAACACTCTAGAGGAGTTACTTCAACTGTAAAACCAAATTGCTTCTGAGAATTGTCACAGTTCAACCGAAACGGAGGTGTTGTGCAAATGGCATAGCCTTGGCTAATCCGTCTCACCTCTGTCTTTCGCCCGGGGCAGCCCAGGGGTGATGAGCCTGTTCAGTTTACCTCAGGTACACAGGGATGCTCTGAGAACCCCAAGATGTGGTTCAGCTGGGCATCCAGATGGAGAAGTCAGGGTCAGAGGGAGCAGCAGGCTGGGAGTGGAGTGTGAGGAGCCTGGCCAGTGTCTAGAGCCTTGAGTCTACTACTTCAGGGACACTGGTGGCCTTAGGTGACCTTCAGCCTGACTCCCCACTCCTTCATGGTTGCCTCATGGAACTTATGTAGTAATCCTGAATGCCAACTTGGCAAGGTCGCTTAGAGGAGGGAGTGAGACAGTGTGGACAGACTGGACCCAGCACCCAGGTACTCAGGCACAGTCACGCCCCTGGCTATGGTTCCCGGTGCCCCCACCTCCTCACTCACTGTGCTCAGCCACAGACTGTCCCCACTCGCAGGCTTGGCTGTGAAGGACTTGGTAGTGTGGTACCTCCTCAGGATGGCCCGCCTACTGCTTGGACCCTGTGCCCCTTAACTCTTGTGTATTTTACACCCATTTTAGATCCCACAGAAGAGGCCCAGAGAGGACAAGTTGCTCACAAAGGCCACACAGGAGCTCAGGAGCAGAGCCCAGAGAGGTGGCTAAGTGGTTTGGAGAGACATAGAGACTTAGGTTCAAGTCCTGATCCAGGGCTCGGTCCTCCAGAGTGGATACTGTTGATGTTTCCCCTTCCCACACCTTCCCTTTCTCAGATTCTCTTTTAAAGACAGGATGCAGCTCAGTGATGAAACACCTGCCTAGGTGTGAGGTACCATCCGGATCCCTAACATTAAGAAAATAAAATGATCAGTGAGTGTGTGGGGGTGACCCCCAAACCCGCCTTGGAGGATCTAGGGAGGAGGAAGATGGCATTCTTTGTCTGGCACTCAGTGTGTGGTCACAAAGCCCTACTGTGTTCTTTGCCCACCCTCAGGTTCTCTGCTTTAATCAGTGACAATTTTCTGGGCACCAACTCACTGAGGTCCCACGAGGGGCCTGCTGCTATGTGCCAGAGGTTAACCTGCCGGGAATTGTGCCCAAGGACAAGGCGAGGCAGGGACGTTCACTCTCCACCCTGCCTGCTCCGGGGTCTGGCAGGTGTCCTGGCCTCCTGGGATTCACTAGGGCTCAAGGTGACTCAGCACCTCTCCCGGAGCACTAAGGAGGCGGAGGAGGAAGACATCGCTGGTGCTGCGGGATCTAGTTCCAGCCTAGAAGAGACATTTGCATTTAAATGGAGGCCTGGAAGTCTGTAAATCTGCATTTCCCAACCGCGGAGCCCTAATGGTTGTTTAATCATGTTTAGATGAACCCCCCTGGAGCACTGGGGGCTGGTGCAGTGTGTCTGAGATCTGTAACACAGACTGAGAGCAAGAAGGGCTCTCAGGCAGGGAACTCTTTCCTTCATGTCCTCTGTCCCGGACAAATCAGTCATTCCCGAGATGCACTAGGCCTCTGCCTCCGCCAGGAGGGCCTCCTGGATTACTGAGAAGAAGCAGAAGTAGGATTGGCTCCAAAGTCCCTCAGCCTTGTCTGTTATGATAAAGCTTGTGGGGGACGTTGGCGGATTCCACGGCAGGCGAGGGTGGCCGAGGCAGAGGGACAAACATGCCAGGCAGACAGAGCTTAAGTGAGAGGTTTTATTAGAAAGGGGAGGGAAGGGGGAAATAAAGAGGACACAGGTAAAGAGACACAGAGACAGAGAGAGGACAGAAAAGGGAGACAGGAAAAGTCCTGTCTGCCCCAGGGGAACGGCAGGGAGAGAGAAAGAGAGAGTAAGTGGGCGGGGGTCTTTCTTTAAAGGGGCCCCTGCACTTCCATGCAGACTACGCAATCATGGAACCCTGGGCTGACCAGGGTACTGCCTGAGTGCATTCTGCCAGGTGACAGGGGCAGCCAGCACAGTGTCTGAGTCCTTACATTGCCTTCCAACATTGGGTGGAGTAACGGTGTTGCTGAGACCTGCCCCTCACTGACTCCGGGCAGAACCGCACATGCCCAGTTCCTAGATCACCCCAGAAGGGGGCAGGGCCTAGCCAGACATGTAGAATGCCTGGAACACAGTAGGACCTTCATCATGGTGGTCAGTGTAGGCTGCCCTTGAGCAGGATCAGCCTTTCTGGGATTTGCTTTGCGGCTGAGTCTCTCAGCTAGCCTTTGATGGGGGCTCATTTCAGTGCGCACCGGTCTCTCTGGGACCCAGACTTCCCGCCCCCCCTCACTGACGGTAGAGCATTCAGTTCACTAACAACACCCTCCAAGTGTCCCTCTTTGTCACTGAGCATGTCCGAAGTAGGGGTGCAGGTTCGACTTCCCTGCATGGCTGCTGTGTGTGTGGATGGCACCAAATGGCATCCTTGTCATGTGCATCATGTCATCCAGGGAGGTCCCAGTCACACTCTCAACCTAAGCGAGGGAAAGCAGCTTTCTTGAGGTCACCCAGCAGGACTCAGTGCTCAAGCCCCATGGGTACTGGGCACGTGGGGCCGGGGCCTGCGTCTCCTGTTGCCTCCCAGGCCTCACAGCAGAGTTTCACAGGAGGAAGGGTTCAGCTCCAGACCAGGTCTATCTTGGTGTATCTTCTGAGTCCTTGACTCCTGGAGGTCCAGCTCTGAGCACTCAGGCTACAGGTAAGATGAGGCCTGGGGGTGCTCAAGCCCTGTGCCTCCCACTCTGGAAGTTGGGGTCAGCTCCTCCTAACCCCCCATCACCTGTCTAGATCCCAGGCTTTGAGACAGGATGGGTGACCTTCAGGGGCCATCTGAGGCTTTTGTTCCCTGAATTACAGGTTGCTCTCACCAGGGACAGCCAGGTTGAGTGGGTCAACCAGGAGCTCAGCACCCAAACTCTGATTCCTCAGGAACTTCTCTCAGATGTAGATGGTTCTAAACATCACCCACTGGCTCAGTCTTCAAGGAGATGGGCAGCATTCTCTGGAGAGAAGTGTGTTAACACAAGCCTTTCCCTTCTACTCCAGCCAATCACTAGAACTTGACCTCAGTGCCCCCTTATTCCCTGCTTACTCCTCCTGAGACTTGACCTGTGACCCTACCAAGAGTCCCGTCTTACATCAGTTCCCCTTAACAGTGACCTGTCATTCCAGACATGCCTCTGTGCCCATTGCCCAGGGACTCGACTGCTGGGAGGCATTTGCTCTGACATCTCTATTCTCCCGTCCCTTTCCTCCTCTACTGAAGGAAGGTTCCAGTCCTCTCGTCTTTTTAGTCTTTTTAGATCGAGGACTTCTAAGGCACATGGACTCTGTCTTATCCCTAGCCTGGGGCCAGGCATGGACTAAGTGCTTAATGAGCTCTTGGATACATTGTTGCTGAGACACGAGCAGTAGCACTCAGGAACATGGTGTAGCTTATCAGTGTTGTACAGCTCAAAGGCATCTGCATCTTAGCACCCAGGAACATGGTGTAGCTTATCAGTGCTCTACAGCTCAAAGACCTGGCATCAGGCAGGCCAGGGTTTGAATCTCAGGCTCAATCCTTATTAATGTCAGGCAGTAACTGACACTGAGTGACATCTCGACACTCGTGGGTTTGCTGACTCTGGACCCATGGGATCTGGGCAGACAATTACTCTTGCCTCTGTCTTCAACACTCTCAATCAGCACATGGTAGGACCCGTAGGTGGGGTGGGGTCATTGCCATTGTTGGGTAGCCCAGGTTGCAGTGAATGACCCTGGGCTCCCGGTCCTCTTGCCTCCAGCTCCCTGGAGTTGAAATGACAGGCCTGCACCACCACCCCTGGAGATTGTACTCACGGCTTTGTGTGCGCTAGGTGGGTACTCTACCAACTGAGCCACAGCCCGGTCCATTCTTGGTGCAACTAAAGATACATGGGAAGCTGGTCAGGCAGCTCTCAGCACCACCTCCCTATCCTGTTACAAAGCACCCTTGACCCAAATGACCAGTGCTGTCACCAGGGTCACCCCTTAAGTCCCATTACCCCTTTCCCAGGTCATAGACCAGCCCTGCCCAGCTCCTTGGCCTGACACAGCTGACTGGAAATGTGCTCTTTCTGAGCCTGCCCCCACCACTTTCCCATCGGAAAAAGCAATTAGACCGTGTTTACCGGAGTGCATGGTTGCAATCTGTCGTTCCTATCGTATATCCTGTGCACTGGCCCACTTCTCACATGCTTCGCTTAGGCCTGATGGGAGATTTGCATAAGCAGTAAAAATAGAACTGGGAAAAAGCGGGGGAGGGATCAGTGTGGGGCCAGAGAGTTAGGAGTACAGCCCTAGGCATCTGGGTGGGTCAGGGGGAACTGATGGTGGGTGCAGGTTCTTCCCTTCTCATATGATTTGATCTTTTGCCTCTGTTGGGCGGGCAGTCAGGTCACTATGAGAAGTCAGGCTAGCCTACAGGGACCTGCGTAGCCAAAGGAAGCTCTCAGTCAGAGAGATACCCTCCCCTACAGGCACCCCTGTGTGTTGATGCATCCAAGCTGCATGTGGCTTGCTGCTAACCCGGAGGCAGGCTGAGTGGTGTTATTAGCTACACAGCTTTGAGAATGAGCCAAGGAGGCTTCCTGGAGGAGGCTGTTCTAAGAACCGAGCTCCGGGTCTCCGACTAACACCTCCTCCATCTGGAACAGTGCCTGCCTGGGTGGAGTAAGTATCTGCTGGATGCTTAAAGGAATCAAGTACGAGCTGAGGGTGGGAGAGAAGCGGAAATGACCCAGAGAAAAAGGAGGGAAGGGGCTGACAGGTAGAGCAGGGTTGGGAGTGAGCAGTGGGGTAACAACACTGCAGGAGAGTTCCCTACAGTAGAGGTGAAGCTTGAAGACCTGGCGGGGCCCCAGAGACTCACTGGGATGCCCCAGAGCCATGCAGAGCCCAAGAAGACTGGGCAGGGAGAGGTACTTTATCTAATTGGTTGTAGGGAGGATGGCACTGGCTGCCTTGGGGAGGAAAGGCTGGAAGGCTTTGAGGTGTCATCTCATGTCCAGGCAGAGGGGACAGGGCTTGGGATGGCGGGCTTGACAAGGAAAAGAAGCAGGTGCCTGCAGAAGGGAGAATGGGTAGGCTCCAGGGAAGGCAGTAAAAGACTAGCAATGACTGTGTGACCTCCAAGTCCTGTAAGATTTGTACTTCTCACCGGGTGTTGGTAGCAAAGCCTTTAATCCCAGCACTTGGGAGGCAGAGGCAGGTGGATCTCTATGAGTTTGAGGTCAGCCTGGTTTACAGAGTGAGTTCCAAAGCTACATAGAAAAACTCTGTCTCAAACAAACAAAAAGATTTGCTCTTCTCTCATCTGGTAGTGCCTTCCTGTGAGCTTTCCCAAAATCCACCCAAGGACCCCAGTCCAACCTGTACAAGATGTGTGGCTTTCTTTTTAATTAAAACATATTTACCCATCTATTTGTGAGTGTGGATGTGAATGCACACTTCAGGGCACACAGAGGACACCTCCCTTTTTGGAGTTTGTTCCCTCTTTTCCGTTCTGGGTTCAACTCCTCAGGCATGCAAGCTCACCTCCTTCACCCCACCCCATCCCAACCATCTGGCAGGTCTACATGATTGCCTTTCTGCCTTGCGAGTCTCAACTGACCCACCTGTAAAATGAAAGTGTTCCCTGCACGGTGGGTATGTGGGGAGTAAGCACTCTAATTTTCCATCACAGGCCGAGGCAGCCTGCCTCAGACTGGGGGGAGGCAGTAGGGCCGGCATCTCTCCTCTCCCCTCCTAAAGGGCCGCTTGGGGCTCTGAGGCCTTAGGATCCCCACTTGTTAAGTAAGGAGCTGTCCCAGGCCTGGAGGATGGCCTGTTTTCAAATTGAATTGGAAGCATTCTTCGTGAATCTTTGAAATGTTCATAGTGGTGGCTTTTTTTTTAAATAAAAGATAAAGGTATCTTTGTCCTTATAGCATCCTGCAGACATTGGAACCGTGCTGTCCTAGCATCATTTGAAATGACTACCATGGGCCCATATCCAGGGACTGGCTTTGTTGTGGGGGAGAATCCCAGGGCTTGTTATAAGGGGTCGCCCATGACAGCCTTCTCTGGAGATCACTTCCAAGGAGCTCTGGGCGATTTGGATTCTCTGCTGTTTCACTTGTCAAATCAGTGCCTTGATAAAGCTGGTCTCCGACGCCTCTTGGAGAATGCATGAGTACATTTTGATAAAGTTAAAAGCATTCTACAAATGTAAGGTTCTATTAGCAGTGGCCGCCATGCCCCAAGAGGGGAGGTGATTTTTTTCCAAGGTCACAGAAAAAGTGGATGGAGGAGCCAGAAAAAGAAGCAGAGGGATCTTTGATTCCCAGGGTTCTACCGCTGAAGCAGGGAGGGAACAGAGGCAGGAGCCAGAGGCAGGGAAAGATAAGGAGCCGCAGGGTGGAAGAGGAGCCTCTCACCAGCTGAGAGTCAAGAATTCCAACCCAATTAGGAATCCTTGCTGTGCAGCTGGACAACTGGAGACAACTGGCTTTCTATATGGAGATCTTTCACGTAAGACTGTTAAAGTGTCTGGATCGTGGATGGCTCAGTGGGTAAAGGCGCTTGCAGCCAAGCCTGATGACCTGAGTTCAATCCCCAGAACATGGTGGAAGGAAAGCACTGACTCCTGCCTGTGTGCTGACCTCTGACTTCCATAACCAGGCCAAGGTGCTTGTTCCCTCTCACACACAAATGAATGAAATAAAGGTTTTAAGGGAGCATTATGGGTGCAACGACCTGTGCTTAGATCCCTAGCACATGCGGTCTTCCTCTTCCTCTTCTTTCAGAGGGAGACTTGCAACTTTTTTCTAAGTTTCTCAGAATCTTGACGCAGCTTGTTCCAGATGCCAGGAAGTCTCTGGAAGTGCTGTTGGAGCTAAAATCCGAGAGCTTGATGGACCAGGTTAATTTTCGGGCCCATGGCGATGTGTGGCATCTCCCTCTAGGACCGCTTGGATTAATGAGTTAATTTAGTCCAAGCTCCCAGTGTCTTGGGCTTTTGGTGCTGAGGATGGAGATGTGAGCTGGAGGTGGGGGAGCTGATTCTGCACAGAACATGTTTTGGGGTCCACAGGGACCCCAGAAAGAGGCCTGCATGCTCAGCACTACAATTAATTAATGATGCTAATAATGGTCTATGGCCAATCCCAGTGCAGGGAGCTTGGGAAGTTGGGCCTGCATGCCTAAAAGATCTATATGAACAGCTTCAAGGATGGCAGTGCGTGGATGGGTGAGACAGTCTTGGGGAATGAAGAGGTGTCCCTCTGAGCTGGCAAAGCGTGAGGACCAAGCATAGATTGTTCAGCTTGAACCTCGGCCCTGGATAAGCTGTGTGATACAAGCTGGTTCCTTGGCCTATCTGAGTATAATGGCAAATCATGATTGTCAATGTAACAGGCTCTGGGATCACCATGGAAACACACCTCTGAACATGTCTGGAATTTCCTAGACTAGTTCATCGAGATGGAAATACACCCTCCATACTCCCCAAAATGTTGGGAGCAGCATCCCCTGGGGCCCTGGATTGAATAAAAAGAGAGCTGAGCCCCAATGTAGCTGGAGACTTTGCTTTGTCTCATCTGATCCTCCCTGGACAGACTTCTCTCCTGCCCTCCAGCTCCCGAAGAACCACTCTGAAGCTTAATGTTAATTACAAACTGTTTGGCCTATTAGCTCAGGCTTATTATTAACTAGCTCTTACAACATAAATGAACCCATTTCTACTATTTCATATTTTACGAGGTTCTTGGCTTGCTATCTCACATCTTGCTTCTCTGGCAGCTGCTTGCATCTCCCTGACTCCACCCTTCTTCTCCTTGTATCTCTGCTTGGATTTCCTGCCTGGCTCTATTCTGTCTGGCTACTGGCCAAATTAGCTTCTTTATTAGCCAATGGTAATAAAACATATTCACAGCAAACAGAGGGGCATCCCACGTCACCCAAACATTTATCTCTCTCTCTCTGCTTCCTGACTGTGAATGCCACGGGAGAAGCCACCTCAAGCTCCTGAAGCCATTCCTTCCCCATCCTGACGGACTGTGTACTCTCAAACTGTGAGCCCAAAGATACCTTTCCTCCCTTAGTTTTCATCAGGTGTTCTGTGACAGGAATGACACATCAAGCCTTTCTTTCTTCCTCTACAAACTGTAGCCATAATCTCTGTGTATGTGTGTCTCTGTCTCTCTCCCTCTCTTCAGGAGTCATGAACTTGGACTGAGTGACCAGTGGTGACTGTTCACTCTCCTGTGTTCTCAGGGACATCTCTGAGTCCTTCCTGCACACAGATACTCAGAGGGTATTTCCTCACCCACGCGTTTCACTGATGTGTAAGGTTCTCACAGGAGAGTCAATCTGCCTTTTTTGTTTCTAATCTTAAAATTTATTTCAATCCTCCCGGGACTGAAAACACAACAAAAAAGGAAGAGGAAAAACCTGAAAAGAATTCTAAAATGTTTTGCTTTGATTGTTTTAAAATAGTACTTTAAATGATTTTGAAACAATTTAAGTCTCCCAAATTTCAGAAATAGCAGAGTTCCCACCAGTCCGGCATCTCCTGTGATGTCTCATACAAAGAGGGGTCAAACCTGAAGCAGAAACTGACTGCATAGTCCCCCACCCTCTCTGTGTCTGTGTGCTCCAAGGACAACTTAATGGTATGGCAAGCTGAGCTATCTCACTTTTTTGAGACAGAATCTCTCACTGGAACTATAGCTCAATGGTTAGGCTAGGCTGCCTGGCTAGCAAGCTCCAGGAATCTCTGTCCTCCTTTCCAGTGCTTGGGGTTACAAGCATGCATAAACATTTTATTTTACACGGACTATGGGGCTCAAACTCAGCTTCTTGCGCTGGTATGGCCAACACTGTACCAATTGAAGCAGCTCCCTAGCTTTTGGTTCCATATTCTTAAATAGGTCTTAAAGCAGACGGCTCAGTGGGTCATATCAAACGGGGACAGCCCTGTCATCAGCACCCAGACTGAGCAAAACCACTGAGCACCCCACATTGCTCCCGAGCCCCCTTCCCAGGTGCACTTGACCTCCAGTACCTGGGCTGGCCTTGTGAGCCTAAGTCCTGTCTCCCCATTTCTGTTCCTCTCAACTTCAGGTCAATGTCATCCTCTATTGGCTGCCTCCCCTTATGCCCTTTGCTTGTGGATAGACAGTGTATACAAGGTATGAGGGACATGGGCCCTGTCCCATTCCCAGCTATCCTCCCTGGAGCTACCTCAGCGTCTCTCCTTCCTTTTGGTACTGTTAGGAGATGACCTAGGTCCCCTCCCCCATCTCCCACATCCATACGTGGACACATAATCTTCAGGACCTTGGAACGTAACTTTCAGGAAGGAGGTGGGATTGGGAGAATGAACTGTCACTCCACCTTGGCTGGGAGACACTGGTCACAGAAAGGGATGTCAGGACAATGTGGCCTCCTCAGAGTGAGTGCCTCAGGCATCAGAGAGAGAGAGAGAGAGAGAGAGAGAGAGAGAGAGATCTGGGGAGCTCTGGGCCTGGCATATAGGAAGGGAAGTCATTTGCTTTTTGGTGAGTAGGTGGGGTATCTCAGGCTCACCCCATCTGTGAGTTCAATCCCCAGGACCTCAGGGATGAGAATTTGAAGACAGCTTCTTTGAGAAAGAAGTTAAGGAAAGTAAGGTCTTCAGGGTGGCCCTGGGCCAACAGAGGGAACTTTAAGGATTTAGGAACCAAGTGTAGTCACCTGTTACCCCAGCACTGTGGGGGAAGGTGGAGAATTCTGAGCTAGCCTAGGGTACCATGATGCTTAATCTTGATAGTCAACTCCACTGGATTTAGAATCCTATAGAAGCTCAGTGGTGGTGGTGCACACCTTTAATCCCAGCACTCGGGAGGCAGAGGCAGGTGAATCTCTGTGAGTTCTAGGACAGCCTGGTCTACAAAGTGAGTTTCAGGATGGGACAGCCAGGCCTGTTACACAGAGAAACCCTGTCTCAACAAACCAAAAAGAATCCCACGGGAACATGCCTCTGGGTGTTTCTGTGAAGATGCTTCCAGAAGGGCTGAACTGAGAAGGGAAGATATCTTGAATGTGGGATCCCCATCTGATGGGCTGGGGTCACAGGACTGAAAAAAAAGGGAGAAAGAGAGCCAAGTACTCACATTCATGCCTCTGCATCTTGGCTGGGTGTGATGTGAGCAGTCACCTGCTGCTCCTGCTGCCATCCTTTCGCTGCAGTGATGGACTGCATCTTCCTACAGCTGCTTTGGTTAGGTGTTTTGTCTCAGCCATGGTAAAAGTGACCCAGTTACACAGGGAGTCCCTGTCCTCCAGGCCCAGAAATGTGTATCACAGCCTTTCTGAATGGCAATGCCAGATGTCCAACCTCCCTGGGTTTCTTCCCTCTCATGGAGATGACAGGGACACAGTGGGTGACGGGTGCCCCCTGG